TACATTTCTAATGTTAAATAAATGAAAACCATTCATAGTTAAGAATTAGATATTAATTATTAATTCTGTAAATTACCTATATTTAAAATGTGTTACCTTTTTATAGAAGTGATTATATTTGTATGCCAATATTTTCCTATGGTAAAGTTCCGTTTTGCACTTTTATTTTGGTAGTAATAAGATCGGGACTCTTATTTTGAAGGAACCTTTACCGGAAGTGGATGCACAACGGGGCAGAATGTATATAATATATATTTCGCCTCTGCCAAGACTTTACAAATGTCCTCTTTGCTTTTCGTTCGGGTTCACCTTGCGCTTTATCAGTTGAATCACTTTAACATTCGTTTGAGATGTTGACGGGTTGGCCGAACTTTTTACCCCACAGTCAAACAACTTAATTTACTTCGCCATTTTTTGTAAAACAAACACACGGCACACCTTGTACGCGAGTAAACGTGCATCGCTTTCTGGCTCCGTAATCACACCAATGCACGTGCTAGTAGGCTATCAGGCTCCGACTGGTCACAACAAATAATTAACATTTATCTATTTAGGGGTGCACATTTTGCTTTTTGCTGTCCTTATTTCTTTATTTTAAAAACTGGTTGCCACTGATGGCATCCAAACGCCAAGAGGTGGTTGACATTTTTTTGAATGGTTGCCAATGGCAACCTGGCAACCGTTACTGTCAAACCCTGATAATATGTTACATCGTTTATCTGTTAATTATGGCGGTCTTTTCACGCTAAAATGGTATTGGCTTCTTCTACAGTTGATATAATGTAACATTTACAATTAAATAAAGAATTCTCTAAATAGCAAGATGTTTTTTTAACCCTAAATAGGTAGGAAAAGAAAATACAAAAAAATTGGGAGACACTTTTGTTCCTCTGTTCCCAGGAGGATATAGACTCTCCTTGCACTATTTTAACTATTGTATCTGTTTTATTGTGTTGCACTGTTAGAGGAGCCTGTGACCTAAGATTTTCATTGACATATCTACACTGTATCTATGTACACATGACAATACAAGCGTTGACTCTCGTCTCTCAGGACGCCTACGCCCGCGGAGAGGTGTTCATCGGCAGTAAGGAGAACAGCTACACGGTGCTCTCCGGGCTGCCCTCCTCCACGCAGGGACACCACTGGAGCCACGGCATCACCATCGTCACGCCCGACAGGAAGTTCCTGTTCGCCTGCGAGACCGAGGCCGAACAGCGCGATTGGATATCGGCCTTCCAGAGGGTCATCAACCGACCAATGAGGCCGCAGGAATACGCAGGTGAGAGACATTTGAATACTGAATGGAGTTATTTTCCGTAAGGGAAACATTTAGCCTGTTTTACTTTTATTTGATACTCTCTGAAGTGTTTGCTTTCTAGTAGCATTGTGGAGCAATGGTTTGAAGGAGTGGAGTCTGGTTTGTAAACTTTAATCTCGAAAAAATTAAGGATGTTCTTGGATTCAATGGTATTTGAAGACAAATGTGTTCCCCCTGTAGCACCTGATATATCGAGATACTTGTTTGTATCAAAGTTAAACAACAATTACCTTCCGAACACATATAATTACTACAATGAAAAAGCCACTAAAGCTTGGTTTTGTCCTAATGTGTCCATTGTATCTCATTTAAACCCACACATTGTTGTTGGAAGTGGTTGTGTGTGAGCTGAACTGGTGGAGTTGTATGTTGTAAAGCCCCAGTAGCCCAATGGATAAGGCACTGGCCTCCTAAGCCAGGGATTGTGGGTTCGAGTCCCATCTGGGGTGATTTACAGCTGGGCCTATAACCAAGAGGTCTATGGGTTCATATTAGTGTTTGGGAAGAGAAAGATGTTAGATGTTAACCATGTAAATGAGGACATCATGTCAGTGGTCGGTGATAAAAAGCAAACATATTCACAGTTGGTTGGAATCAAACTAGCACTAGAACAGAACTCAATTCAGTGCAAACTCTATTGAGAGAAAACCACATGTGGAATGGTGTCCCCTCACCTCATCTCTTGTTCTGCCACTTAGAGTTCAAAAGCATTGAGTTTGGCATTTTGTCTGGGGATGTGTAGGAAACAGAACTGACCCAAGAGACGGAAGATAACCAAGGCCGTTGTTATCTAATTTAAAAACACATTCTGTCTTCTGTATGTCTAAAAATGTGGTAAAAATGTATGCTTTTCATGCCCCAGTGGCCAGGGATTGTGGGCTCAAGTCCCATCTGGGATGATTTACAGTTGGGCCTATAACCAAGTGGCGTTGGGTTCATATTAGAGTTTGGGAAGAGTTAGAGGTTAGTGTTAACCATGTAAATGAGGACATTGTGACCGTTGTTGCTGGAAAAGCAAAAAGATTCACAGTTGGTTGAAATGAAACCGGCACTGCACTGTACTGGAACAGAACTCAATTCAGTGCTAAATGTATTGAGAGAGTACCAAATGTGGAAAGGTGTCCCCTCCCCTTATTTCTTTCCCTGTCATTTACAGTTAAAAAGCATTGAGTTTGGCATTCTGGCTGGTGTTGTGTAGGAAACAGAACCAAGACAAGAGGTCGAAAGATAACCAAGGCCATTGTTATCTCATTTAAAAACACATTGTGTCTTCTGTATGTCTAAAAACGTGGTAAAAATGTGTCCATATGTCAAGCCCCAGTGGCCTAATGGATAAGACACTGGCCTCCTAAGCCAGGGATTGTGGGTTCAAGTCCCATCTGGGTGATTGGCATTCTGGCCTGTAACCAAGAGCTCTATGTATTCATATTAGTGTTTGTTAGATGTTAACTATGTAACTCTGGATATCATGACAGTGGTTGATGATACAAAGCAAAAAGATTCAAAGTACTACAAAATAACTACATTTAGTGCAAACTGTATTGAGAAAGAACCACGTGTGAAAAGGTTTCCCCTCACCGTATGTTTTTTCCCGGCCACTTACAGTTCAAAAGCCTTGGGTTTGGCATTCTGGCTTGGGTTTTGTAAGAACCAGAAGTGACACAACAGGTTGAAAGATAATCGAGGCCATTGTTACCTCATTTAAAACCACATTTTGTCTGCTGTATGTGTACGAAACGGGTACACATTTGTAGTTGTTGTGCCCCAGTGGCCCAATGGATAAGGCACTGGCCTCCTAAGCCAGGGATTGTGGGTTCAAGTCCCATCTGGGGTGATTGACAGTTTGTCCTGTAACCAAGAGGTCTATGGGTTCATATTTGTCTTTGGGAAGCTTAGTGTTAACCATGTTACTGGGGACATCCTGAAAGTGGTTGGAAAGAAACAAACAGGTTTGCAGTTGGTTGAAATAAAACCAGCACCAGCACTCTACTGGAGCAGAACTCAATTCAATGCAGAATGGATTCAGACAGTCACAGTCAGATTCTAAAATATTTGCCCTCACCTTATCTCTTTTTCTTCCACTTACAGTTGAAAAGCCTTGAGTTTGGCATTTTGTCTGGGGTTATATAGGAAACAGAACCGACCCAAGAGACAGAAGATAACCAAGGCTGTTGTTATCTCATTTAATAACACATTGTGTCTTCTGTATGTCTTTAAAAGTGGTAAAAATGTCCATTTGTCAAGCCCCAGTGGCCTAATGGATAAGGCACTGGCCTCCTAAGCCAGGGATTGTGGGTTCGAGTCCCATCTGGGGTGATTTACAGTTTGGCCTGTAACCAAGAGTTCTATGGGTTCATATTAGTGTTTGGGAGAAGTAAGATGTTAGATGTTAACCATGTACATGAGGACATCATGTCAGTGGTCGGTTATAAAACGCAAACATATTCACAGTTAGTTGGAATCAAACTAGCTCCAGAACAGAACTCAAT